TACCATATTTAATTCTTGTAAGATGTGTGGTCTTGCAAGAGTTTGGCTATGTTTAATTTTCTTACTCAGTTTGGAGTTTCTGTAGGTGCAGCCAACTAGCTGTGTCCAACTGGCCACGGCCAACTCAGTGCAACGAACTCCCCATGGCCAACTCACTGCAGGACAATGTAACAATTAAATTTAATAATTAAAAATAAATAAATAAATATTTTAATTTTTGTCATTCACACTTCATTCTATCTCTCATTTTGCATCCTTCCTTTAATGATTCTATGCCACCATTTCATTGATATTAGTGTAACTTTTGTCCTGCTGCAAATTGGCTGTGACGAGTTGGCCATGGCGAATTAGTCTTCCTAGTGTTTTTCCACAAGTGCATTTTTTTTAATCGGCAAGTGTGGATCCATTGTTGGTAACCGGAGTTTACTCACTGGCTTGTCACACGTGGGTGATTGGCTCACCCAACCTGCTTTCATGCCTAACACATGACTAGTGCTCACAATCTCCTGGAGATTGGCAACATACCAAGGTTTGCACAAGTTTCTATGGCAAAACATTAGGAACACCCGGGGTGGATGGGTGGGAGACTGTTCTTAATACTTTTTCCGCACTACTTCCGCACAGCCCTCAAGATCTGGCTATCCCGCCAGGCCTGGGGGTAAAGACCATAATCCGCCCCCACCCAAATGTTGTATGAATGTTGCTTGATTTTAATTATACATTGTGTTTTTATGTTATTGTATGTCTTCCCCTCCCATACAAGTTGTTAGCCGCCCTGAGTCCCCTCAGGGAAAAGGGCGGCCTATAAATAAACTCAACTACAACTACTACAACTTTTTGAAGAGCTGAAGGTAGCGTAGTGAGTAGAACTGCATTTATACTGATGTGGTGGGATAAATTTTGGAGTGAGTTTTAGGTTTTTATATTTTAAAAAGTATATGTCTTTATCTTGTAATATTTGCAATATAGTGTACATATTGTAGGGCAGTAAGTTAGGAGTTTTTGGAAGCCACAAACAGTGGGGATACTGAAAACTTCACAAAGCAAACTCACTGATCCTTGTGTTGTGCAGTGCAGTGTAGCATAGTTTTTAAAAAGCAATCAAAACTGTGTTCTTTCAATGAATACTGTAGGAGTACAAGGAACTCCAGCACTGCTGTACCAAAGTAGATATTTATGGATCTAGTTAAAAAAAAATCTTTAATGGGAATATCTAAATAATATTTAGGAATCCAGAGAGAAAGCAAAATGCAAATAAGATAAATAAAACCACAGATTGATTTCTCACAACTGAAATTTGGAAAAAAAAGAGAAATTGTCCATTTTGCACCGTACTATAATTCCACCCTGCCTTTTGTCCACATATGTAGCTGTAAGATAGTACAGGGGGGGAGGGGGGCAACCCCAGGAATAAATAATATCTTTTAATTAGTGAAATTTAAATCAGATACATATCTTGAGAAGTAATGAGCTTCATAAAAAGGCCTTATTGGATCAAAGTCAGTTTAAGATAAGGGCATCTCAAGGTCACCGAGGGAGCTGCCCAGCAGGGCTATTTGCATAAAAAATTACTGTTAGAAATAGGCCAGCAAGGCAGCCCTGGCATTTTGATCTCTTGGCCTTTGTCATGGAGATTCCTTGCAGAGAAGGGAAGAAGGCCAGTGTCCCAGATAATGATTAACTGTTTTAATGGCATTCATTCATTCATTCACTCATTCTGCACTAACTACTCATGCAGAAAAAAGGGTTATGTAAAATGACATTAGAAGAAAATCATTTGTAATCGTTGCATCGGGGCTGCACTTTGAGGAGACATTAGGAGTAAATCCGTGGCGTGGTAGGCTTATGCTTTATCTTCTGATATTTACTGAGTTTACTGGTGCATGAAAAGCTTTCAGGAAGAATAGCAGATGGGATGGACCTTTTATAGGTAATGCTATCTACTGGGTTATTACTTCTATATATTGATAGTGAAGTAATCTTCAAAATATCACTCTACAAAATATAGATTATTTAAATGTTTTTAACAAAAAAAATCCCATAGCAGAGCTGCTGCTATCATTTTCTACCTATTAGATCAGAAACCTTAAATGCTTTTTAAAACCTGAAATAATTAGAATATAGTGAGCTTGACAACATATTATGCGGTTCTTTTTTCCTCTTTAGACTTTTGGACAGCTGTAGGGAGGTAATGCATAGTTAAACTGAATGGCAAGTATTCAGTTTAATTTGTCTCCTTAAATCTGACCTTTTCAATTAAATAAACAAAAGGAAGTGTCCCACAGACATTTTTTGAGGTCATAAAGACACACTTTGCAGCCCAAAACTCCTTGAGGATTTTTGTGAGATTTGAAATGGAAAAAAACCTACTTTTCATAATGTTCTCATAAAAACCTTTTTGTTCTCATGTATTCTGCACTATTGGGTGCCAAACTAATATTTGGTGGAAGTGATTTCACCGGTCATTATTATCAGTTAATTATAATAAGCAACTCTGGGAGTCTATTCAAACAGTTCAAATATGGTGATTATTACATTCAAAAATAGATTCCACAAATCTTGATGTTAATTGTTAAGGAATGGATATTAAATGATAGGTTTTTAATTGTATGATTGAGATCATTTTTAGGATATATTCATACCAGGATTTGCCCTCAGTCTTTCTCAGCATTAGGCTCTTCTGCAGTGAGTCCTTTCTTCTCATTTGGTGGCCAAAGTATTTGAGTTTTATCTTCAGGATCTGGCCTTCTAAAGAGCAGTCAAGGTTGATCTCCTCTAGGACTGACCAGTTTGATCACCTTGCAGCCCAAGGGACTCGCAGGAGTCTTCTCCAGCACCATAGTTCAAAGGCCTCAATTCTTCGGTGCTCAGCCTTTCTTATGGTCCAACTTTCACAGCCATTCGTTGCAACTGGAAAAAACCATAAAATACTCTAGTGAGTTATTTATTTATTCATTTTAAGCTGTGTTAGCTAAACCCAAGTTTTCTTTCTTCAGTTTCTATTGTGCAGTGAACATGTTTTAATGAAGATGTTTTAAAGGCTTTTTATACCACAAAGTTCAACCTTTCTGTAGGTAGTGCTCTTCTCCTTGTCTGTCAGGTTTCCCAAATTGCTAGAAGTGGTATTCCTTGCCATGTTTGAAGGAGGTAAGGGCAAGAATTCATCAGTGCCTTAAATCTAGATTTAGATACTTGGAGCAGGCGTTCTCAAACTTTGCAGTGCCTTAAAATAAATTAATATCTGTGACATCTCCCATGAATACAGGGAGTGCTCGAATTACAACAATTTGTTTAGCAACCATTCAGATTTACAGCAGCACTAAAAAAAAGTAACTTACCTCCAATCCTTGCACTTATGCTCATGCAATCAAAATTTGAGTGCTTGGCAACCAGCCATATGATTTACAAAGATTGCCATGTCCTGGTGCTCTGTGCAACTTTTCCAGCTTGCTTCCTACAAGCAGAGTCAATAGGGGAAGCCTTAAAACCTACATGATTCATTTAATAAGTATAGTGATTTGTTTAACTCTGGAAAAGAAGGTCATAAAAGTGGGTGTAAGTCACTTGACATCTGCCTTGCCTATCAACAGAAAGTCTAGCCCCAAATATGGTTGTAAGTAAAACTAATGATTTCTAAAACATACAAACACAGAAACTACTATGCATATAGTAATAGAATGTTTAAACTTTATAAAGAAAAATATTTTCATTAGAATTAAACCAAAAATACCAATCAAATTAACAACTATTTGCTCATGAGTTTTCAATTTTGGGTAATTGCTGAAATCTGGATATTGTTTTTGAGATAGTCTAAATTCTCATTCCACATATATTTTGAATTGATATTTGCTCTTTTGAAGAAACTTTAGAAAATCCTGACCAGTGGAAAGTCTTGCCCCCACAAAATGAAAGCAAATGTTGACAGCAATTGAGTCTTAGATGTTCATGCAATGAGGCTTGTTCATCCTGAACCAGAGCCTTGTAATATCATACTTTGGTCTTGTGGCAATTTATAAAATAAGAATCTAAGAGGAATACATTTTTACACTCAAATGTTATGCTATGGTTCTGTATGTTTTGTAGATTGAATATCTTATATTCCTTCCTCATCCTGTTTTCTCCACAACCACAGCCCTGTGAAGTAGCTGGGCTAAGAGAAAATGGCTAAAGTCACCCAGCTGTCAAACCAAACTAGCTCTCTATTTTTCTCATATTTTGCTTGCTATCTCTCCCTCCCTCCCTACCTCCGTGTGTGTGTGTGTGTGTGTGTGTGTGTGTGTGTGTGTGTGTGTGTGTGTGTGTGCGCGCGCGTGTACAGATATATAGAGATATAGATATAAAAGCTGTGGTAGTGCAGTGATTAGAATGAAGTATTGCAGGTTAATTCTGCCAATGCCAACCATTTGATCCTCACCAGTTCAAGGTTGACTCAGCCTTCCATCCTTCTGAAGTCAGTAAAATGAGGACCCAGATTGTTGGAGGCAATATATTGACATTGTAAACCATTTAGAGAGGGCTGTAAAGCACTGTTAAGTGATATATACCAGTAGCAAGTCTAAGTGCTATTGCTACTGATATGTATGTATGTATGTATGTATGTATGTATGTATGTATGTATGTATGTATGTATGTATGTCTACATATGTATGTTAAAACAACATTTAAGCTTGCACACATTCTGTCAACAAGTAGATTTGTACTCCTATGATGGTCATGTTGGATATCATGTTAAGAGTTTATATACTATCTTTAAATCCATACACATATTTTATCCCACAATTCTGCTTTCACTTTTAAGTTAATGTATATAATGTAATGTAAAATGTATGTACAACTGCAATACATTTTTTCCAATTAGTAACAGATATAATTCCACTGCTATTGATTGGATGGTGAAACTATATTGTTTTAATTTAGTTCATTTTAATTGGAATTTTGATTGGAATTTTGATTTAATTGGAAGTTACAGTTTTATATACCTGCCAATTTTTTTGTTTCAGACTAGACCAGGACCAATCAAGACGGCTGACTCTTATTCTATGCAACCTTCTTCAGTATACTGTTACAACTGTGGAGATAAAGGGCACTATGGATTTGTAAGTCTCTTAATGTTATGAATAAACAATAAATATTTGCTGGGTTACTTTCCTTTATGATAAGGTCCATATTTGTTTCTCAACTACTATATAACAAATTGCATACCCCATACTTACTAAAAAATTCTGCAAATGATTTAGAAAAAACAAAATTTATGTATTCCCAATCATCCTTCATGTAATTTAAGCCCAAAACATATAAAGTTTGATGTAGGGTTGGTAAGTAGACAGATTTAAATAACTGTTGTAAGAAAATAACTGAATCAATAATATTGGGATTCACAAATCAGTGTTATTAAAATGTTCATGCAGTTTAAATCCAAAACATAGAAGATTGCACAAAGACGTTGGCTATAACAGCTCTAAATAAATAGCATTATCATATCGGAAGGCCCTTAAATATTGGAGAATATCAGTTTTTGTCATCTATATTTCAGCAGCAATAAGTATAAATTTGATTGATTAAGAACTACCAAATCATTTTCAATGTCTATTGATCACATAAAGATATCTTTTCAGTAAATACTTAACACATAGGTTTTTTTTGAGTACACAAATGTACATACAGTACAGATACTATCTTAAGAACAGTATATTAATTAAATCATCCGGATTCAATGGTGGGTAGATATCTGCCTTTGACATCATGTGTTCTGAAGCAAGAACAGGTCTCCAAACAGATGTACAGGTCTCCAAAAAGATCACTGTTTTCAGCAGCTTCATAGCAGGAACAGGTCTTGCATTTTTCAATTCTTCTTTGAATATTAGGAGTAAGAAATTATTAAGACATTGCATTTTGTGTTATAGACATTATCACAATCCTCAGGGATTAAAAAATCTATCCATCCATCCATTCATCCATCTTTATTCATTCATTCATATTCTTTACTGCAGTCAGTGGCAAGTCTATAAAACATAATGAATACATTAGTTTAGGAATCTGCAACTATTAGCATCAGTAGAAGTAAGAAAAGAAGCTACTAAGTCATATTGTTCTGGAAAACGGAGCTGAAAAAAAACCTACAGGATTAGCAATCGAGTGAATGATGCTGATAATCTTTTTCCTCTAAAATGTGTGCATGCAAGAATCTAAACTGGAGGGCTCATCCCAATGTTAGTTAAATCTTACTAGTCACATTTGTGTCCACATCTGCAAATTGCAGGACCCCAAAAGAAGAGAACAAAGCAGAGACTTTGTAGCTCTGCCTGGCATTCGTATTCCAAGCTGTCAGTCAGATACAACTTTTCTCAGGTGTGTTGATGAGAGCCTGAGATTTCTATCCTGTGTGTTTTACCTGTGGTGCTAAGGAAAATCTCCAGAGTATTTAAAAATACAAAGCATGTGGCAATAGTGGCAGTTGACTTAGAAGAGACAGGTCTGGGAAGTGCATGTCATACACTATTCAGATTATTATTCAATGGCTCCATGTTAAAACAAGTAGGAGTGGCTATTTTTAGAGGCCTCTACTTTTTTTATCCACTAGGGCTTTACTGTCAAGCTACTAAGGGAAAGGCCATCTTCTTGGAATATCTGTCGTTACAGCATCTCCAGAAACTTTGGAGGAGTACACTCCACAGCAATCAAAGATTATTTATCCTTATTTAATAGCTATGCATGAAATCACTAGAAAGCAGTTGGTTGAAGTAAATGGAAAATAACCACTGAGATGTCTTTATTTCTTCCCTGAAACTACTCTTTCTTGTGATTCACATACATGGGTTATGTGTCTGAGCAGAGCTCACTCGGAATCTTCTCAAGCTTATAAAAATGTCTCACCGAAAATTTTGGGCCTGTGTTCTTTTGAGATCAGGACATAACTGTACACCCCTTTTCCAAATAGTAACCCAGAAGTCATTCCCTTTGCTTTTTGTTTGCTTTTCACTTTCATTGAGATCAGTATATGTTTTTAGTTTTTTGGGGTCCGTCCCAAACATTGTGGATTTTTCAAAATCGATTGTTGCAGCCATCAGATTTTGTTATAAGATCAGCAACCAAAAGTGCCCTTTTCTTTGGTTACTTTGCAAGAGCTGGGATTCCATCTGCATCTCCTCTACATTAGATTCTCCTTATGTAGGACAACTTCTTATCTGTATCTAGCATTATCATCTGGATTTTCATTCTCAAAAGGATGTAGCTTTTAGAGCTGCAGTCTTTTGTATTGTACCTTATGAGCACTAAGCCCCTTTAGATAATAGGCCAGCTATTCACCCATGAGTGTATGATCACAGAGACCACAGTGAAGAACTGATTACTTATCTGTAACTGAAGTTTTTTGAGTAGTTATCTGTGAGTTCACTCAACCCTCCCTCCTACCTTCTTTTGTTCTGGGTGACCTCAATATTTCTCTTAGAATTCACTATATTGGTTTCAGGCATGGAGGGGATTTAGGGAAAGCTGCACCTAGTCATGTGTGGTATGCAGAGAGCTGCACTTCAGCCAAGAAATTCCATATACTTTAGAAGTTTCAGAACAAAGTTTTATTCAAGATATATTGCGTGTGAATTGGCAGGCGATCTCTTCAGTTACATTAAATAACCAGTTGTTTCAAATCAAATTTATAAATTGGGAATTTATAAATTTATAAATTTGTTGGTTTAGAGTGAGATGTCATCAGCATATGTATTATAGACAACTGTCCCCCCCCTCTCCTTTTGTCTCTGTGTGAGAGAGAGAGCGACAGGCTGACTAAAAATGCTACAGAAATCTTGAAATACTTTAAGGCATGGAGGCTGTAAGGATGTAGAAGGAGAGACACAAAATCCAATAGAGGAAAATATAAGTAGCTCAGGGTTGAATTGTGGGGTCCTTGGTACTCTCTGAACTTGGTTGTTTGCTTTTTAGGTAACATCATCATTGCTGCTGAGTGTGAAGTTTGCTCCCTTGTTGTAGCCCTCATTTTATACAGCAACTCATTATGAGCTTGAGAGCTCATACTTCACTGTACAGAGCTCATACTTCACTGTACAATAGCTTGCCTTGCCAGTATTGGTGAGGTTGCGGTTTTCTCCTTGATTGTTCCTTCATTAGGGCATGGTTTTCTGATTGATTGCTTGGTATATGTACAGGCCTTTTCAGTATTATCCTCAAATTCTGAAGTATTGTGTAATTGTTGACTCCACTTTTCATTCATTTAGAAAGACCTTTTTATTCTCACAAGTCTTTGGTCAATAATATGATTGTCATGCAATTATTTATTGGATTAAAAGAATATTCTGTAACATTTTAATTTTGCTTACTTGCACTGCCCAGAATCCTTGTGATTACAAGGATTCTTGTGCAAATATTGTTAAATAAATAAATAATGCCCCAATACTATTAAACCATTATTTCTTACAAAAGCAAAAGTTTTTATTCATTGTGATTTTTCTATCTGCTGCTCTAAAATTGTGATCTTTAGATGAAAGATAATGCTACCAGACTAAAGTGAGATGAACTGCATATAAATTTAATAAAATAAGTAAGTAAGATGCCTGGATTTCTTGATTAAAGTGAGTTCTTACTTTCAACCTGAATATTTGAATTCTGGAGCCTAGAAGACAAGTGGAATACCTTACTATAGCAATAGTTGTAGATAGAACAAGATGTGGTTTGGAAATTTTCCTTTGTTCTGTTCAAGTCAAAAGCAACATAAGATCATGGGAAGGAGTCATTGTATTATAGAAAATTTAACTCTGTCTTTGGACTTGTTCCAAGTTTGAACATTTTTCTCATAGGCAAGAAAGAGAGTTTAGGAATGTTATTGCTATACAGTACCAACTTGAACATAACTGTTAAGGCTCCCTAAGGCTTCATCCTAAAGGAAGCATAATATCTCTATTGATGATGCTATATGGGAAGAAAGTAAGAACTTTTTGCCATTCATTATAGAGCTATCTGAAATGCAGCTCACATTTGACATATGGTTGATTTTGTTTTGAGGCTTTCCAATAAATGAATACAGGTAATTCTCAACTTAAGATCATAACTGGAACCAGAATTTGCATTGCTAGGGCAGGCAGTTGTTAAGTAAATCACACTCAATATTGTGACCTTTTGTGCCGTTGTGGTTAAGCGAATCACTGCTGTTGTCAAATGAATCACAGTCATTAAGTAAATTCAGCTGCTGCATAGACTTTACTTGTAGGTTCTATCTGGGAAGGTTGCAAATGGCAATGCTGCATGCCAGTTGCTAAGCAACCAAATTTTGAACACATGTCTGTAGGGATGCTGCGGTGTTTGTAAGTGTAAGGATTGGACATAAGTCACGTTTTTCAGTGCCATTTTAACTTTGCCAAACAAATAGTTTAACGTTTAGCAAAAAAAATAGTTGTAACTTGAAGACTATATGAATTTATAGGCAAAATGAAACTAGATTAATCTGTAGTTATATTCAGCAGCTTGCTCCTTAAATTTGTAGTGATATTTCAAGCACTTTAAATTTGCAACAATATTCTATATCCGTGATGGCGAACCTATGGCACGCGTGCCACAGGTGGCACACGGAACCATTTGTTAGGGTACGGCAGGTGTTGCCCTGTCATCTCCAGCACCATGCGCCTGCTGGGCAGCTGATTTCAGCCTTCTTTTTTGCCGTTTTTCCCTCCAGAGGCTTCCCTGCAGCCTCCAGAGGGCGAAAAACAGCCATATGGGCAACCCGGAAGTTTAGGGTTTGCTCATACAGCTGTTTTTTTGCCCTCTGGAGTCTTCAGAGAAGCCTCCGGAAGGCGAAAAATGGCATTATGGGCAAATCGGAAGTGACCATTCCCGATTTTCTGGGTTGTCCGTAGGGCCATTTTTCACCCTCCAGAGGCTTCAGGGAAGCCTCCAGAGGGCCTCCAGGAAAACAGGGGGCTGTTTTCGCTCTCCCCAGGCTCCTAGAAAACTTCTGGAGCCTGGGGAGGGTGAAAAAAGCATATCAAAAGCAGGGGAGGGGCTGTCACACGCACATGTGTGCTGGAGTCACGCACATAGCATTATGGGTGTGGGCACGCCCATGTACATCCCCCCTTTTGGCACACGATCCAAAAAAGATTAGCCATCACTGTTCTATATAATCTTGCCCCTCTTCTTTTGGGACAAACCGCAGGGTTCAATATGCATTATTAAAGAAAACGGATTGCTTTACTACCAATTGAAAAGCTGTTGGGTCAATTTCATTTCTTTCTTTTGAATTTGCATTAACCAGAGATATGACAATAATATTAAAATATGATTTGCAGGAATGCTCAGAGAAGCGAATGTTTGGAGGGACATTTCCTACTTTCCCCTTTATCTATTACTATGACAATGAATATGACATCAAGAGGAGACTCCAGAGAGCAAAGAAAAAAGTGCAAGGTATAATATATATTTAGTAGTTTTATTTTTGTTTTTGTTTTAAAAATTCTTATCAGTTCACTATCATGTTTACTGCCTCTTTTAACCTAATCTAGATTAAGATGGTTAGCCCTGGCCAAAAGGCTTCATGTGGTCTCCAGCACCCCCACCTGCAGCACCCCCATTAACCCACAATCATGCAAAAATTTAGTGACAAATAGTCAAGGTTTAGTGGCACAATTTTTAAAAAATAAAGAAAGCTGGAATGAGAATAAGTTGCCTCTAACTAATGTCTGTCTTTATTTCTACTTTTTAAATCCTTCAAAGTCAGTGGAAACCTCAGACATTTTTCTTCCAAATTTTGACAGCATAACCTGGAGCTGTTTTGTGAGAATTTTAAGGATGGAAATGGAAGAGTTTCAGAGGTCAGAATGCCAAATGTTTCCATTTGCACCAAAAAAATCTTAACATAGACCCATTAAAAATGCAAACAAACAAACATCAAACAGATTTTGCAACAAGTGCTCAGCATTTCCGGAAGGTCAGAAGACTGAACTGCAAGCTCCAGTTCTTTACCTCTTTAACCTCTTCTCTAAAAGAAACAATATTTCCTGTGTGTACTATCTGATCTCGATGTTCTAGGTGGCTAACAATCTCAAAAAATAAAAACTTGAATATTAACAAAAACGTTTGAGAGGAAACCCCCCTCAATGTACCAAAACATAGATTGACATTAGAATTAGAGCTGACCAAATTCCAAAATGTGGCGATAGCTATCAGAAAAGCACCCTTCCAGTGGCAATCTTGTAAGAATAGATCATATGATTGTGGGAATCGATCCTGGTTGAGTTAGGTGGACAAACAGATGAATACAAGTGAAGACAGTCCCTTAGATAGTTAGACCAGAGCTATTTGGGACCTTAATGACGACATCCAGCATCTTGAATTGCATCTGGAAGCACACTGGCAACCAGCTCAGCTCTTGAGGAAGCAGGGTCACCGAGGTGTACAAGGTTATATGTATCTTCACAAGCTATTGATTCCAAAATTTCTTCAAGAGCACCCCAAAGGTGAATGCATTACAGCAGTGATGTCAAACTTGAAATGGGTGTGCGGCCAGCTGCGCAGGCTCTTAAGTAGGACCTATTTTGGGGGGTAGGGCTTATATTAGACGCACATGTACAAAAACATGCTAGGCCTTATTTCCAGGATAGGTCTTATTTTCAGGGAAACAGGGTAGTAGACTCAAATACCATCTGGCCAGTTACATCATCCAGTCAGACTTGTGAGGGGTCTGAGGCAGTACTTACTGGTATCTCTTGCTTCAGCTACTTCAGCTCCTCAATAAGTCAAGGATTTGCAAGGAATTTTTTTTAGCTTGTTTGTAGGTAGACTCCTCTCAGGATTGTCTCGCATGACTTTCCAAAATAAAGTTAAATTTGTCCAACTTTTTGCTTAAAATATCTGTTTGTTTGATTTCAAAGTTATTCTAATTTCTAATTACTTTATTGGAAGATTTATCCAATTTTGGTATCAGATATTTGATTTGAGGTTTCACACTCTGTGTTCAAACATATAGGTTTAGCAAAATAGCTCCCATCTTGGTATCCACTATGTCAGGCCTGCAGCGGTTCCTTTAAGAATCTGTGGCTTGCCACACTCTCATTAAGGGGGGGGGGGGAATAGCAAGGGGTAGAATGTGTTGTTTTCAAAATAAAAAATTCCTTCCTAGAAGCTCAAGGTCATCTTTTGTCTCCGCACCTTTGCACCTGACCGCAGCTGGGCGTGGGTGCTAGCATGGAAGAAGAAGATTGGACCATGTGATGGATTATAGGTGTGGGAACAAGATCATGAACTTTTCACTGGGTGGGATTCTGATGTAATTTCCAGTATTGGGATTTCATAGCATAATACCAAGATGTCTGATCTATTAAA